ACACCTCTTGATCACACAGGCTGGTGTGATTCTTCCATGTGGGCTTTGTTGCTTCTGAGCTAGATGGTTGCTTGTTTACCTTCAAGCCTTTAAGACCCCAGATGCTATATCTTTTGATAGCCTGGCACCATCAGCTTTCTCCACCACTTTTGTTTATACACCCACTTGTCTTCAGCGATCGTATCGGTAAGCTGTCTTATTAAGCTGACTTGATAGATTCACCAAATGTGGTATCTGTTCTGCTTTCTTATAGCAACCTTTAAAAGGGGGCAACATGGCAAGGCCAAGCGTTATATGTACTTTATAAGTAATAAAATGATAAAAAAATAAAGTGATATAAATGTCACACGGTGCATTTGTTCCTTGCACTATGGCTTCACCACCAAGAAAGAAATGGCAGAGTTGGCCCATCCCTATGTGGGCTTGGCTTCCACTATGCCAGCGGTTCTCAACCTGTGGGTGGCAACCCCTTTGGGGGTCGAATGACTTATAACAGTAGCAAAATGACAGTTATGAAGTAGTGATGAAAATCATTTTATGGCTGGGGGTCACCACCACATGAGGAACTGTAGGAAAGGGTTGCGGCCTGAGGAAGGTTGAGAGCCACTGCTCTACACTCGTGCGCAACTCCCAGTAGAGCACAATCACTGGAGCTGGGGCAAATGTACTCTCTACATGGGAAGTGAGGGAAACTCATTTCAGTACTATTTATAGTTGTCAGGATGTCCTTCTCATGCGCCCATCCTCACCAGGACTCTTTCTTTTTGCTTGGTGCTGTGGATCTCAGCTAAGCCCCCTACTGCTTTTCAAGGAACGTCCCAAAGAAGCCAGGGGCAGTCACAGCAATCATGAGATGAGGAAGCGACATGGAGCACCGGCACTTGCCACATGACTCGGAGAAGCCGGAGAAAGCTACTCCGGGCAGGACGGAACTGGTGCTTAAATGACTGAGATGGGCCTAAGGGGCCAATGAGCAGTTTGCAGCCTTCAAATCAAAGAAGATCCTGAAGTCATTGACCCTTTTGGGCTCGGGTGGCAATGATGATCTTCACATGACTGTCATATGGTTGTGGAAAGGTCACGGACAAAAAATAGGTTTGTACACTGTCATTCAAGTGCAAGGTCAGAGCAGAGGGCATCCACACCATGAAATTTGAACTGGTTTTTCCCCTACATTACTCTGAATCCTGCTCTGTCATGTTCAATACTGCAGAGCTTTACACAGTCTCTGTGTAAAGGCTTTGTCTTCTAAGTTTGGATGAC